GATAAAAGCTTAAGTTATACAAATATAGTTAGTGACGTCCGTGTACTGTTGCACAATAGCACTAATTTCTCTATATAAAACCAATAACATAGTTAAATATGCCCTGCGAGGATAATCAAACAGACAGACAAACGAGATCAAAACTAAATCAAATTAAAGAGTCCCCTTTGATCGCCCCCTCATGTGATAAATATAATCTTTATTGACTATTGTGGTCGCTACTAAGGTGCTATTAAAAAAGGAATATATTGAAATAAGTTTATTATCGAAGTTAATAACTATCTTTAGCACTTATTCAATATTAGCCTGTAAAATTAAGTATAACAATTAAAATTTCTGAAAATTAGTAGCATAAAGTTGTATGTGATTTAGTCTAATAACGTAAATTAAGTAAAGATATAAATTAATTCAAAAGTATTATAATTAAAATAACATTGTCACATTTTAAACAAAGACAATGTTTATCAACTAAGTCATTTATTGATAAGCGACATATTTGTTGTCTTTGTTAAAAGAATTTTTCTAAAAATTATTAAAAAATATTGCCGATAAATTAAATAAAAATTCTAACGATTTTCGTTTTATATATTAGAATTTTAAAGTCTATAATTGGTGTGCCTTATCTGGAGTTTACGTGAGTACACATTAAAATAAAACCACTTTTAACGGTTTAAAACGCAACTCCCAAACATCAGGCAAAAGTATAATTGAATTTAAAATAAGTTAATGCGTTTTAAACCGTTAAGAGTGTCTTTATTAAATTGGTGAGCATTTAATATCAAAATCAAAGTTAGATAAGGCAAAATAATAAGTTTTTATGCCTTCATTTATAATGAATGCTGCTTTAAACTATCATCATATGAGATTTATTGTGCTGTGTGGGGAGTGGGGTGTGGGGCTTGGGGTAAAGACAATGTGGAGTAGTTGTAATCAGGTTAGCAAACAATTTGCGTCTCTGGCGATGCGTGCGATATGACGGCGTAATCGCTTTACATACAATTGCTTTTTAAGTCCATATAGTTTTCGTTTGTTTTGATTTTAATACATATTCTATGTTGTTATAACCGTTTTTTATGATAGAGGACGGTAGCGCTGCTGCCCTATTTTGGCTTTGGATGTACGAGTATGCTTGTGTTAAAAGTTCATTAATTACTCTGTAAGTAAATTGGAAATTAGAGGACAAATTATCTACTTTTTGACAGTTAAATCAACAATATGTTGAGTGTTTTATGTAGAAAAATAATTTAGTTTAACTAGACCTTATGCTTTTATGTAGTTTGAACAATAGATAATATGCCTTTTTAAAACATTATAAAGTAAAAACTTTCTCAATATAATTAAAATCTTCAAATTAGTATTACTTAATTTTGATATTAACCATGATGATGTATTTTACTCTAGCAGTACACATTCAAATGAAACAATTTTAACCGTTTAACCAGTATCGCTGAACCGTCGGGTCAAGGCGTCGTTACAATAGACTTAAAGATAAGTTAACTAATAAACTTTGCGCGTATAGCCGTTAAAAATGTTTTATTGAAATAATTAAAAGGATAATATTTTAAATGTTTGTAACTCAATACGTCCACACTAAAAATTTGGCAAGTCTTTTAGTATCTTTAAATACTTTTCTACATTAAACTAAATAAAATCTTACATCCGAGAATCGAACCTAAAATGTTAACAATGAAAAAAGCAATGTCACACATCATTAGAGCTTGAAAACTGCGACAAATCCGCTGGAATTGAGACGTTTGCAATAGCTGGCAACACAGTCCGCTAATCCGATGCGCGCGCGCGGCGCGTGGCGCAACTGTCGCCGGGCACGCGACAGCTACGCGATGCAAAAGACAGATCGTTAATTACCAAGAACAGGCATGACCTAGTCGTTTTTAAGAAGCTCGTTTTAGTATGACAAATTGTTCAGGACGTAGTATTAAATCTGCGCTAGTTCTATATTTTTGTAAAGATTTAAATAAAACACTTTTAACGGTTTAAAACGCGAAATGTATTAGTTAAACGTATTCGAAACTTCGGACGGTAGTTAAAATAGTGTGTAAATAAGTTTTACTAATATATTTCACATTGTAAACTGTTAGAAGTGTTTTAATTTAATTGTGTACCACTCGTGTAAATCAAAGACTGTACCTCTGTAAAGAACGCAATATTTTTCTTATAAGACAAATGACAATTGAACGTGATGAAAGATTGACGAATCATTACTATGGTATACATTATATTAATTTTAAAAAGAGCTTTTCAATTACTATTACAAATTACATTATATTTATGTTTAAAAGAAGAAATTTGGGGGAGGGGGCCGGAAAAACCCAAAAAGCCCCCCCCCTTGGGGGAAAAAATTTAAAATTTCGGGTTTTAAACCCGAATCACTTAAATTAGTTAACGACCTTTGTTGAAAGAGTTTTTGTGTTTGTGTAAACAAACGGTATCATTTAACAAATTGTAGATAAAAAAATTTTAACAAATAGGTTTTTTAAATAAAACACTTTAACGGTTCTAATAACGCGATATATTAGTTAAATATGTACTACTTGACGTTAAACTATAGACAGCTATCTAAATAGGTTTTTTGATCAATGTAGAGGGTTTAAAACGCGGCATATTGTTATATTAGTCTATTTTTTATTACAGTGACGCCAGAGCTGTTATAATGAATGATGATTGTCTCGCATGATGATGAACTTACCACTTGCTAATTGAGGTTTAATGTCTTATGCATTCCAGGTTAAAAAATCATTGAATAATAAAATTACATAATCTAACATCTCAATTGGCTAGAGCAACAGCACGGAACGCTGTGCATGTCGGTTCAAGTCCTGCCCGTGTCGTGAAATTTTTCAATCTAAAATCGAAATTTTAATCTAAGACACGCTTGCCAAAAAATGGCGCATAAAAAGCAATATTCCCACAAAAGGAAACATCTATAACAATAAAATTATACCATTACGTGTGAAATATTGTATGAAGTCGGCACGCGACTGTTAATAGGTTAATGCGTGTATTAACAAAGGAAATAAAAAGAGCGCAGTCAGTGGGCGACATTGATATCATAATCAAAATATGAAATGATATTTGGGGGAGTGGGCACTTGACAGGGATTTATACGGCGTGTTTGTTTTTAATGTTTATACTAGAGATGAGTATTAGTTCGGTAATACAATCATATCGCTATTATATGAGCGATCTTGCTCTGTTTTTGCGTATTATCCAAATTCAAAAGTGGAGGGGGTTTTAAACTTTGCACTCAATATACAAAGGATTTAAAATGGGCTATCGTACCTAGTTACTTACCTTCCTAATAATTTGTTCTAGGCAGACATTTGTGGGCAAATAATTTTAGTGTTTAGTTAAATTAGTTCTAAATCAGTTACAGTCATGAAAAAGTCATAGTCTAAGTCTTGGATGAGAAAGTGTATTAATTTATTGTTTTTTACCCTACATAAAAATATACCTCACATTTTTATGTAAATCAACGGCTATAACTATACAAGAATTGATAGGTATGTCATAAGTTTTGAATCCTTACCTCGATGAACGAATATTAAAAACGAATATCAGTAAGTGCAAGTGGCTCGTGCGAAATTAAATTTCTCCACGAACAGACCTTTCATGTGATTCACAAAAGATTATACGTCCGCACCAGCAGCCACTTCTGCATTCGCACGAAGTAAAAATTCGATAAAAAACGCAGTCAACACGTGCCGGAGCATTATTCGATAACCGTCGGGGGCGGTATTTAGATCATTGAGGGCAACCCTAATCCCGTATTAGGCTGCTAACGAAATTTCAACTCTATTACATGTTACCACGATTTAGAATGTAGTAACATTGTAAAAAACTAACGTCTTAACATTTGTTGTTGGATAATAGACTTTATGTGCGGATAGCTAAGATTGAATTTAGAATGTCACGAGTTTGAGTCGACAACAATAGGGTTGTAAGATTTTCTATTTATTGGTGGGAAAGTCCGCGTGTCAGAACTAACACCAGTTTTAATATTTTCCAGCGCGTGCCGAACACGCGCGGGCCTTTGGTAAAAAACTGGACGTATAATTCGCATTTTATTGTCACATTCTTGTTATATTGCTTTATATTTTTTGCGGTTAATGGCCGGTCATTACCAAATTGACTGATTTTGTATAGGCTCACCGATGCGATGACGATTATAAATTTCGTTTAGCCGAATGTAACTCTTTTGTGGTTTAAATCGCATGCATTATTCACATTAGATGACGATGTGTCTTATTTTTGATGACTTTAAGCTTTTCATACGAGTTTTTTTTATATTTGATGTGAATAAGAATAAAATAAGGTATTAACATTTGATATTTCTGAAAATCTTATATCTATAAGAAAGATCCAATTTTAATTCCGTAACATTTAGAATACTATGGAATAGAATTTACGCACTGTATTAAGAAATAATTTAAGTAGACTACTTAAAAAATCTAAATTTCAATCTTATTTTTATGCATTTCATTTCAGATGCTGAATTTGAGGCAATATCAAGTTTTGACAATAAAACTACATTACTTACGCCATCTTCTAACACAACTGCGAACTAAGCACGGGGTCCTAAGGGGATATTTCCGTCCACGTGGCCCTCAATACAATTGGACAGCGATATTATAACAATACAATAGACGATGTGATCGCAACATCATAATACTGGATTATTTACATTGACTACAGGAAATTGCCTTTTATAGAAACGAGCGGGGGATTTTCGATACATATTCGAAGTATTTTGTGCAACTCAGTCACTGTTTTTCAGATACAACATTGAAAAGCTTGAACACGTTCAATTACCACCACCAAACACCACTTTTCATGTCATCTTAATGACGTCATGGGGTAACTGAAAATTATAATACAGAATGGGGAAAGATAAAAATTCAAACTAAGCCTTTATTTTCATGCAAATTGACAGTTGTACTTAAAAATAAAATCGACATGCATTAGGACAGCAATTGTATCTTTCATTCTGAGTCCGAGAGATGGATGGTATCCTGAAATGAAAAAAACATCACTAGCCAAAATTTTACATATTCAAATCCGTATTGGTACTCTAGACATTAGTTTGTTAAACTTTAATCAAATCTAACATAATTGTCTATTCCTTAATATTCTTTTTAAGTTAGTACGCAATTAATACTTACAGGCATCTCAAACTTAGTGATAAAAATATCAGAGTCGTCTGTCGATGGTTGATCGTCGTTGACAGCTGTTATTTGTGGCCCTGAAACAAGACATTCCAAAACTATCAAGAGGTATACAGCGAAATATTGAATCTTAAAGAAATGTGTGAAAACTTATTTTTCTTGCACTGTATAAATTAAAATTCGATTGTAAACTGAAAAAATTACAACACGGGCAGGACTTACAATTGAGTTACAGTGTCCTTACATTGTCGAATTTTTTCAATCTATTGACATATTATATACATGCATCGCTCGTTCAATGTAATTTCATCGTTAACACACAGTAGCAAGATTGGTTGGAGCAACAGCAAGGAAAGGTGAGGATGCCGATTTTTATTATAGATTTTAAAATTTAAGCCGTTTAAGTTACTAATGCTGTGCATGAATAACGTCAAATTGTTATTCTTACCCATTGGCATGCACTCCATCGGTTCAAAAAGGTCGAGAGGGATGAAGTCTAGAGGCGGGGATGGCGCCGGCGGTAAGAGCGAGTAAGACATTATTGGACCTATAAGAAATTGTAAAAAAATATTTAAGGCATGTACGCGTAAGTAGTTTCTAGAAAAAAGGGATTCAGCGATTATGCTTTTTTAAATACATTTTCTCCTTTGGTTATAAAGTCTCACGCCCTAGTTAGCTTGAAAAATATATTATTTAATTAAGCATACGTAGGTTTTAATTATGCACGTATAGACCTTCTCAACATTTATATTCTTTTGATTGTACAAACTTTGAAAAGTAGTTAACGACCCAAAGAATCTAGGTCGTCTTATAGGAATGTAGCGCCATCTTTGATCTATGGAACGTAACTGACAAGGGATTTTAGCGAAAATAATATTAAACATGTGAATCAAAGCTTTACGCAATTCTGACTAGAGACTAGATCATTTAGAAATAGTCAAACTATTGGCATTAAATGGTAGATAAAGATTGGTCGTTTTTTTGGTATTCAAGTACATTATCAAGAAAACTAATTGATTGAAGATAAAGCAAATTACCTGATATAGCAGGCGTTACTTCTTCCTTTACATTAGAAGTAGTGGCTTTGGCATTAAGGCAACCTTCTTTTTTTAGTGCAGTGACCAGATGTCGTGTCCGTGTGGGTACATAACCCGATTTTATCTGTGATATTTTAATATGATATCAGAAGTTAAATAATAATTTTGAGATGTTATAACCTACAAAATCTATTTTTAATATAATATGTTTTATCAACGACAATAATAGTGTGTTAAGTAGGTATTAAAATCAGGTTTATATCAAAAATATAAGAATAAAAGAAAGCATGCTTCTCACATATAACAAATCTTATAGATAGATATATAATTTGCTATTAGTTAAACATTACAAATGGTACTTCAAGTATAAGTACGAGTCGTTTTAACTACCATGGATAATGTACACGTTTGAATTTGGTATCTAGATTTATCAATTAATAAATTAGGCCGATCCCGGCGGCACTGCAATGCCGGGCCGACCCGCGACAGGAGTGGAGCGAGCCCCGAGCATCCCGTCAGCTTCCAAAAATCAGTTTAATATACTGGTCCCGCGATGCGGGAACTTTCAGATATTAAGCTGAAAAGAACAGATACTACACTTTGATCTTAGCCAAAAGGCCGAGAAGCGATAACTTGCTAAAAGCAACTGAGGGCCTATATCGGTGTAGGGGCGACTCTTATACCGCGTTGCAGGGGAAACGCGACCGGCGCGCAGCGACATCTAGTGTCATCACGTGACAACTATTTACTACCTTGGTGTTTATAGTAATTTATCTTTCCTAACTTACTATCAGGAGCAAGTGCGCTATGATACGCATGATGAGGCTCTTCAACAGCCAGATGCAGTCCACCGCCAGGCTCAATCTTCGGCACTACAGTCGCTACCACCGGAACACGAATCTGTACGGCGCTTTCCTTTGGCACTGTTTCTATGTTTGGATTATCCTAAATTTTTTAAATAGATTTAGAAATATCCAAACAAAACACGTATGGTAAGTATCTGTTATTTAAACAAAACACTAAAACGGTTTAAAACGCGATATATTAGTTAAACTTATTTGAAAAATGATTTTTAACTTCGGTCCGACGTTTCGGATGCTTCGCAGCAGCCGTGGTCATGGGGAGACCGTTAAAGTGTTTTATTTAAATGTGTACTACTCGCGTAAACAATAGACAGTATTTAAGTGTCTGTTAGTTTTTTAGTAATAGATAAATCATTACAATATGTAAAAGAACACACCTACCCATAAAGTTGAATCAATAATTTATTAATTGTGAATGCATAAGTTAATTTAACCTTGTTGATACGATAATAATTATATACTCTGATTACATAACTCTTTTACAACATAAATAAGTTCATTGTAATTGTGGATATACCTTCAAAGCCACGGTTTCTTTTTTCATGACAATTTTACCCCCGACCCTTAAGTCTTCTGCCGTCGCCGGTACCAGCATCTGCTGATGTATCAATTTAGCGCCCAAAATATTAGAAACATTGAATATGTAAAGCAGTTTAATACCTCATTAAGAAAACTCTGCCTTCTTTATAAGAGCTCTAATACCAGGTGGTCAAAAATATACACGAAGGTATATTAGATGATGCAGTAATTTATCCATTTTTGTGACTTATACAACCAACATCACTAACATACAAAAAGCCACCTCCATTATGGCCAGATGGGCACTGCGAACCCAGAACGGGTTCAAAATTCTAATCCTAGGAAAACCGCAGTGTATCCGACACATTAAACGCAAGAACTTATTTTTGTAAGATGAATGAGAAGTGGGAATATTTAAAGTCCGTCTGGGACAAATGTAAAAGCTAAAACAGCTTTATCGCGTTTAGCTTCTGTCTATAATTTTCAATTACAATTCAAAATATATAGCTGGGCTTCCATCAAGTGGATCCATTTTATATTTTTGTCTATTCGCCTCTATCAAAAAAATACATTTATCTTAACAAAAGTATATTTTGCTTATTAAAATGTCATTTAAAATTATACAAACCTGCTTCCCTCCAGGAAGCTCAGTATCGACCACCTTAACCAGTACCGGAATACCACTATCGGACTGCAAAAGTGCAAACGGCGTCTGCCTGGTTGCCATGGCAACGCCCATGTGGTAAGTCTTGATGGGATCCACTATGACCCCACCACCCCACAGGCTATCAGTGACATTCGGCTTTGTTTCCCAGTGTTGCTTGGTGGATATTTCAGGTGGCATGTATGGACCCATTGTGGAAGTCACTTCGCATTGATCGGAGGGTGGTCTTAAATTACATGAAGAATAAAAAGTTCACTTCCTAATGTAAAAATTTTTAGAAATATGTCATAAGTTCTCAGTACAACCGTTTTTATTTGAAAAGAAATAATGTTTGTTAATATATTTCTTCATTTACAATTTTAATTACCTAAATACCCATGATTGTAAGATGAAATAAAAAAAATATTACAGAAAATAAAATAGTATTTTTTACTATTAAACGCACATTTATTGCTTCCATCCTTTTGTTGTAGTAATTGTCATAAAGGTATTGTGGAATGTTTTAAGTTTAATAGACTTAAATACTGTCTATAGTTAACGCGAGTAGTACACATTTAAATAAACGCGTTTTAAACCGTTAAAGTTAACGGTTTAAAACGCGATATATTAGTTAACTATTTGAAAATGACTTTTAACTTCGGCCGACGTTTCGGATGTTTGAGCAGCCGTCTCCCTGTGATAGGCTTTTTAATAATGGTTTAATATAAATCATAAAATTACTAAACAAGTGGAAAAGTCGCTTTTATGTATGGCGATATGTTGACCATAGGGTTTACCTATAATGATAAACCTACCTGGCTTGATTGGGTGCCAAAGTTTCCACGGGTTCCGAAGTGGTAGGTACGCTGACACTTTCAATGCATATAGTTTCCTTAAACGGTCCGCATTCGGGATGCGCCTTTAAAGCAGGATTTAAGATATGATTTTTCTAACAGCACATTAGCTTTATATAAAATAAATCTGTTTCAGTCGATTGAATCTGCCACTGTAGTTGACTTGGTCGTAGATGTCGAGGTCCCCAGTGTCACTAATTTGTTTCTTTATAAATAATGATGTGTCCCAATTAGTTTTTTTATTTAATAATATATTCTTTGCAATTATACAAACAAGCTACTGAGCTGTTACAAATTATACACTTGGATTTTTATTCTATGTGGCCAAATATTAACTTTAAATAATGTTGTTGAGTAATATTTGTCAAAAAAATCTATCATCATTATATCGTTAAATGGTTTTACATATTATCATACCTTATTTTTATGACAGACAAGATTCGACTGCTGGTTGAAGCCTTTTTGGCAGATATTGCACCGGTAAGGACGTTCGTTGGTGTGGGTGAAAAGGTGGTTCCGCAGATTACCTAAAATCATTTAAATCATTCCATCTTCTATTGGTTTAACTTTGAAACCGACCAATTTGGAAATAAAATCTAATTTAATCTTACTTAATAAAACTGTACTATTATTATTAATACAGAGTTGTAGAGAACAAACAAATTGGTGGTTTTCACTCTCGAAATATACAAACGTTTTGTTACGTTTCAGCTGAAGGGATTATCGTTTATTACAAATTTCATAATTACACATAAACAAAAAAATAAATATTCTAATGTTTGTGAATTGGCAAAAATAGTTTAATCAAACCACTTTCGGCTCGTCACTATTAGGAGTAAAGCTGTGAACGTGAAGGATGGAGTCGTATGGAGTACAGGGATGGGAACCTTTCTGATGGAAGCCCTTGGGACAGATGTGGCAGCGGTAGGGCTTCTCGTCGGAATGGATCTTGCGGTGGGAGATCAGCGTCGAGACGCGGTTAAATGTCTTCTTGCATACCTACACATATATAACCGTGGCTGATTTGAGATAGTGTTTTTCTATCTCCTACCTACCTTTTAAAAATATGTTTGTCATCATTATTAAATATTTTATTCGGTGTATTCGTTAATTCGCTTACATTTTATTGATGAGTCAATAAAAATAGTGACCGCATCTAAATTTAATAAAAATAATAATATCTTAATAATAATAATAATAGGCCTTTATTACATACATTATTATAAAATTATATTTCTTTTATTACATTATGACACATTAAAATATATTATAACTATTATGAATATTATGCGCAATGTATGTTTGCGTCGCAAAAGGCCTCTTTTCCCACTCTGTCAATAATGTCTTTAAAATTCTGGAAACTCAGATATAACTGAGAACAAAACCTCAAACTTGAAATAAAGGCTAAAATTATTTAAGATGATAAAATTATAGGTAATGTATATTTATATTGTATGTAAATACAAAACGGAGGAAGTCATTAAACTTCACAGCTTCTTTCCGATCGTGACCTGAACGGAATATCGATATACCCATTTAATAGTCCAGATTTCCAAACGCAGTCCAACATGTTTCAGAAAAGATATAGATTGATTAAAAGCTATTAGACCAGATGGGCATCGATCCTAGGCCCCGATGATTAATGGCCATACATTGCTAACATTTAGACCAAGGATCCCATCAATTTGACATTTATGTATGATATTGTGTAAGTTACCTCACAAGAATATGGCCGTTCAGCTGAATGTATGGCCCGGTGTTGACTCAGCGTGGACAATTGGCGAAAACTCTTGGAGCATTCGCTGCAGTGGTAGTTGCGTTCGTCTGTGTGCGTGGGTAGGTGACGCATAAGGGTGTATTGGTGTTGGAATTCACGACTACCTACATGGTAAAAAATTACTTGAGTTGGGTTTTCTAGCTATAGGGCCATTGTGACTGCAAAATGGTCCTTAACAACGATTAATTAGATAGAATCCACTAGTAGCTTTAAAAGATGGCCGCGAAAGCTTTTTACAATATTGGACTTTCATGTACGCGAAATAATGAGAAATTAGAGAAATAATAATATGTATCATTTAACTAAAAGGAAACTAAAGTATCGTTTTAACTATACTAGCTCCTTCTTACGTTTCATTTACTTATGCATTTGTTTGATAATACGTATAATATGAGGCTGCTAGAGGCAAAGGGGCCTAATAACAAAACAACATGATTTTCAATAAGGAAAATAAAAATGCGCAATTGACTTAGGCGAAAATTAATTTAACTATTATTTCTGTTAAAATGATGTTATAAATGTACGGTCACTGTGCTCTTGTAGATTAACGTTTTTAGACTATGAAAATATAAATAATTCAAGTCATAAAAATTGCAGTTAGGCTACTCTAGCTCTAGCGGCCTGATATATGAAGCGAGAAATATTATATAAAATCATAATTTCTTACATATTCCGCATTCCCACAGCTTAATAGCTCGTCCATGCCTCTTGATGTACTTAACAAAATGCAATCTCGATCTAGGGTCTTCTTTATCGATTTTACAAGTATTCTTGTCTTTTGGTTGATCGTTGCCTGAAATAATTGTCCACTATGAGCATTATATATTATAAGCATTAATAAGGAAGACCGATGAAATAAGATTTACACTTAATTTCCTACAGTTAAACAAAAAAACAATTATATAAAAATACTGTCTATAGTTTACGCGAGTAGTACACATTTAAATAAAACACTTTAACGGTTTAAAACAGTCTCCCCGTGACCACGGCTGCTGCAAAGCATCCGAAACGTCGGGCCGAAGTTAAAAATCATTTTCAAATAAGTTTAACTAATATATCGCGTTTTAAACCGTTAAAGTGTTTTATTTAAACAATTATATATCTTAATTTAAAACTGTCATTTATTCATGTTATTGCACATTAACAAATCATTTTAGTTGAGTAAACTTTAGAATAACACGCTAGCTTCAAAATAATAACCAACCAATTCTTAGCCTAACACAGATATAGGTTTACTCCCTGCTTTTTCAAATGAGTAAAAGCAAAATAGGTTGACAGTGCATGTTAAGTAGATGTTATAATACAGTCTTCGTCTGTTACTAAAATAAATCTTATCTAGTAATGAGTATACGTACTTGTTCCACCGCCAGATGTAGACGAAACAGCATTTCCGTCAGCAGGTTTTGTTGCGAAAACGAGTCCGTTGTTTTTCTTATCTCCTTCGTGATTAGAAGACGTATCAGCTTCCTGAAGGTACATAGAAAATATTATTTAAAACAAATAACATTGTCTTTTAAAAACAATCTCTTGAAAAAGCAAAGAAGATCAGTTTCGAAGCGATAACGTGTCATGAATGTCACTTCGATACGTAACGCGTTAGTCACAAATCACTTCCGTTCAACATCTCGTGATATGCGTTTTTTTTATTCTACTCATTTTTATGGAGTTCATAAAATAATTCTCTTTTACCGCGCTATAGAGTTATATTGTTACGTTTCTCAGTTATATACACACCTTCAATTCACAAGAAAGCGCATCAAGTTCTTTACTAAACGTGGACCCGGTGCCAAAAGCTGGTGACGAAACGAGAGAGGCGATATTGCCGTCCTCCTCTGTCCACGCGAATTTCGCTTGCTGTTGCTCCAGGCTTTCGAGGAAGCCGTCACGAAAGTAACGAAGTACATCCAACTGAAAAATTTACATTGTTTTGTGTCCCGTGGGCAGATACTACACAACTCTGAATATTCCTTACGGTACTAATACCTAGGACGACTACTTCTCTATAAATTTTATCAAATCCATATAAGAAAGCAATGTGTTTTATTTTAGTATATAATAAATCTGTTTTTGGTAAAATAAATTTAAAAATACCTACATTACTACGGCCCGAGTTAAACAGCATCGGTTCACTGTTAAAGCCAAAGTCTTTCTTATCATACTTGTCAACCAAGCACACTTCCTGAATACTGAAAACAAAATTCAATTTAACCGTCTAAATCTATTCGGCCGTGGCGGATTTTAATAAAAAAATGAAGATCAAACCTTATAAGCTCATCGTCGGGTCTGGCGAGGCCGCTATCTTTTATTTCTTCGTCGGAAAACATATTTAATTTTGTTTTTATTCAATTATTTTAAAACACTAGCACGTCAAACCTTCCTTTTTTCAGGACGCCGTCTATTGTTAACAATCGTTTCGCGTTTCTAGGAGACCGATTCGAAAGTTTTGAATTTGTTTTTTTTTGACACGTGTCTAATGGCCAGTGTCTTATTCGCAATGGAACTATAGACTATATGACCTCTTTGAACTCTGGGTTAATGACCTTGCAACGAATTTTTATTAGAAAATATTAAAACAATATTTAAATTATATTTCGTCAAAATTACGTTGAAATAAGTATCTGTAAAAAGAAAAAATATAGTATATTAATAAATAATGTGATATATGTTAATTGTAAATATAATGTTATTTTTTTGATGATAGAGGAAAACACAAAGTAGGTGAAATATTCCTGCCATGAGATATGCAGCCAACCTATTTTGCTGTTGGAATTCAGTAACGCATTTAAATAAAACACTTTAACGGTTTAAAACGCGATATATTTTAGTTATACTTGTTTGACAATATTTTTTTAACTACGGCTCGACGTTTCGGATGCAAAACTTGCTTTAAAAATAATTTTCCAACAACTTTAACTAAAATATATCGCGTTTTAAACCGTTAAAGTGTTTTATTTAAATGTCTACTGGCGTAAACTACAGACAGTATTCTGTAATGCGATTAATCTTCACACCTTTTTATTTGAAACCACGGTGCGTCGATTGTTTTTATTAGACCAACGAGCCCTTTAATTTTGACTACAATTTTCATTAGGGTTAGTTAAATATCAAATGCGACACAAAAATACTAAATACTCCTTAAATTTCCACTGAATTTCGACGCAACGAGTGCAGTTAATTAGTGGAAACTTAGTACGAACTCGTAAGAAGTGGAATAAATAATTATGTTAAAATTATAGCCGAAAGACGCCGAAGTCGGATATAAGCACAAAAACAGAAGGCAGGAACGAAAATTAAAAGGAATAGAATATCTTTCGCTGAATATTTTCGAGTGGTTTATTATAACGTCTAAGTGCTGTGCTCATTTCGTTCCGGCCCACTCGAAGACTCAAGCGCACTCAACAAACTTAGTGTTTGCGAAGAGAAAATTAATCTTATGGATGAAAAATAAAAATATTATTTCCTCTCTCCTGTACCTTTACGGTAGTCGAACGTATGATTGCGCGTAAAATATTAAGTAATATTGTAATTACTTAATGCATGCGCTATGTAAAAGGGTGACTGTGGTTGTTTCATGTGCTTTCGTCAAGATGAATGAACTATTGTTGCCTTAAATCAATATAATATGCTTTATTCTCTATTTAATTATGAAAATTATTTAGATTCGTCAAAAAACATATTATGTTTGTCTGTCCGTTCGTCGTGATTCGACAGAGTAAACAAAAGAGTAAAATAACCGATAAGAACACCAAAAAAACTGAGTGTCTATTTTCAACATGCCTTTTTAATGTGATTCCGCAAATTCAATAATCATATTTTTTTATGTTTATTGAATTTGGGGTTTTATGTTAATTCGCGCGCGCTTACTGATTCTGCATTAAGTATTTAATTCAAATTATATGTTTAACACTATGAGATATCGTCTAAAATTAAACATTGCAATTTATAATAATTTAAGGTTACCTATTGCACTAATGGACGCCATTAAGAGCGGGAAAACACTGATTGTTTAGCACACCATCTCTACGAAAATATTGTAACTAAAACGCGACACATCGTTGTTGCGTTTCTCCATAGCAGAGTCTAATTTTGAAGTTTTGGATGTTGCGATAGTTACACGTTTATTCACAAGAGGGCGCTGATATTAATGACTTAAATGTGAAAATAAAAATTTGTTATGTGTATAAGACACGGTAGATGACGCTATTCTACATTTGTTTTTAAGTTTTAACATGTACTAGTTAGTTTCATAAATAACCGAAAGACTGCGGTGTGATAAATATATTGACGATTGTTTTGTTCTATAGCAAAAATAAAAAAAAAAAAAATAAAGAGGTTTATTTTCAACGACACAGCTTTTACAAATTTAACTAACTAATTCTCTTCTAAAAGTACAGCTTTTACATCTAAGTATCTGACATTGCGTCTTCTAGCAACTACCACACAATTTTTATTAGATTGAATTACATAACCTACATTAGAAACGTGTTTTAAAATAATCTTTTGAGATCTCATTGCACAACAATAATAATATATCGCCAAGTTTCTATTTAGCCAATTCCCCAGTTGACAGGGTCTAACCTAGGAGATGATGACGTCACGAAGCCATGTTGTACGTGCCTCTTCTACGTGCTGTTAAAACCATTTATGCTCGACATCACTCGATTGCAAGTATAAAGTCTTACCTACCTATATTAAGTGGTCAATAGTATGAGCTATATATTTAAAACCTTTTACACATATTTTTTGGCTTTATGACTATTTATTTACAAACTTTTTTTATTATACTGCCTCCATGGCTCAGTGAGAAACCCGCTGTTATTACGTGTAAAATGTAAGAGATCCTGGTTTTGGATTCTGGTAAATTATGATAAATAGTTTTGGCTGAGAAGAACGTAATTATCATCGTTCATTGATAGAATTACTTGTAAAGCGTTGATAAAGCGGACACACAAATGTGTCCGTCCGATGGCACGAGACATAGACTTAACTTTTTAAATTAATTGTGAAGTTGAAGTGCAAGGAAGTGTAGCGCATTTACCTATTTTGCGCCGCTGACAATAATTTTGTCGTACGCACTACAATTTTGAGTCGTCTCTAGTCGTCGTCCTTATGCAATATTCATTTTTATAAATATAAATGTATTGTTAAATTAATGTAGTCCGTAATAATTAGATGTAACTTAGGGCAGTTTCTGTATCAAATATAAAAAGACGTATCATACTGGATATTCATAAGACAATTATCGGAATATAAAAAAAATATCATGATAATGTCTTGAACTACGTACGACTATTTCTGTGAGTAACGTTGTCGGCTAGGACAGTGACTGGCTGGCCACGTTATAAATTGTCTGTGATTCTACTGAGATGCTTTAAAGAAAATTTTATCAAAATTTGTCAGGCCACTTAAGTCATGCATCTGGGTAAGTCTACGATATTTTAAGATTTACTTTACATTGTATATATTGATTATGCACCATATTGCATAACACCATCCGAAACATCCATCTTGAGTAACGAGAATACGTTTTGTCATTTCGTTCCGCCATTTTCTCACACAATACTCATCCTGAAAACGTCCCTATTCCATATGATTACATATCGACAATCATATAGTGGTTATGTCGCACGTGAAGATATTATAACGATACGTTAGAATCGATACCAAAGAATGTCATTTAAGATAGGCTGCTGGCCTATTTGCTTATCAAAAGGTTGAGTATTTTCTGGGTGGTAATTATATAACGTTGTATTGTCCGGGTCTCTGTAGCCAAATGGTTGAATGTGTTGCCTATCATTGTGTTAAGCGTGAGAGATCCTGAGTTCTAATCCTGGGAAAACAATAACTAGTTTCGGTCGGGAAGAGCACAGAGGGTTTATTATCTACTTGCCTGTAACAGAACCTCATATTCCATGGGTGGAAATGAAATTTCACTTTAATATATAGTTAGATAAAGGTTAAGTTAATCTTTACATGTCTGGTCGCTTTATACTTTGTTGGAAATCGAATCGTATATTTTACCAATTGCGACACCAAGATCCAATAACTTCTAGTTCACTGGAGGTTGTTTACTGTCTGTAAACAAAGAATAGACAATTGTAAGTAATAATTTAGTGTGTGCCCAGCAACTAAGCGACTTCTAAATATTACAATATCCATCCATATTAAGTAAATCAAATACTACTGTTTCAAGGTGTTTTATACCCGCACAGAATTTATTTATTTGAGTCAAAATTGGAAATTGAAATTTAAGCACCTTCCCGTTGTCAGATTGATCTGAAATTTGGTACACACATTTACTTTAGATGACAATACAATATAATAACATCACAAACATTATAAATCCAAGATTGCTGCCAAAAACAGAATGGCGGATTACATATTTTACACGAATATTATTTCAATTTTTTTGTAGTTTTCAGTGCACAAAAAATAAAACTGTTCAACTTAAAAGTTTTTTTTAAGTTGATACTTGTTTCTCATTCGTTTCGACGAAGCAAAAAGTATTTGATATCTATCACGTTGATGTTAGATTAATTACTCATTCTGAAATTGATATTATATAAATATATGCATTGTATATAACCTTATTGATAAAATTGGGGTTCTCTGCATTTGAATATGAAATATGATAGGGACAATGGAGAGCGGTAATCGTATCACGGGGATAGGTAAAGTAGGTGTTTGTTTGTTTGAACGTGCTAATCTCAGGAACTATTGCTTCGAATTGAAAAAATGATATTATGTTTCTTGGAGCGTTTATAGCGGAAGACTTTAATATCATACTGTGTAATGCAATAATAAGAGCAAAAATGTAGTCGGAAATGTGGAAAAATTGGGGAAACTTATTGATATTCCCAAAAAATATGTATTTGGATATAAATGAACTACTCCTTAAAAATAATGTAAAAAAAAATACGCGCTAGTATTTGTCTCTTTTAAGATTAACTCACAAGAACCGTTTTAATGGTAATAAATTTTGGTGAAAATACTTAATATGGCAAAAAAAACATGCGAGTCAAAATATTATTCGTGGCAAATTTTTTTTCCGGAGTAAGACACCAATACAGAGTAATTGGTTTCACAAGTAACAATTTTTTTGTTTTTTACGAAATTGATCCTTTTATTATTATTCAGGTTTTGTTTTAGTAAAAATATAAAATAATCCTTCCCAGTCTTAACATTTCTCAACCTAAATTAAAATTTTAAAAATGCCATCTACTTACTCTATATACCGAGTAGTACATTTTTTATCTCCCGTGACCACGGCTGCTGCAAAGCATTCGAAACGTCGAAAGGGGGGCAAACGTCGGCCGAATTAAAA